AATTGCTGTAAATCAAAAGAAACTTTTATTGCAAAATATAATGGATAACAATTATGTTTCGAATAATACATCATTCAAATGTCCACCGCGACTACGTTTGCAGGAGCGAATCCGATGAACCCAATTTTCGGTCACTTTATGCAAAATATTAGCATTAATCTCACGAATGATGTGCTCTATGTTCCTCTTTTTTAAGTCTTCAATAGATTGTGGTTTGTTCAGATATATTAATGACTTAACATAGCCCCATAAAAAATAATCCAACGGTGTTAAATTGCAGCTTCTTGGAGGCCAAGCATCTGGTCGAAGTTGCTGAATTCTCCTGGGGTCTCTGGCATCAAGAGAAATCAATGTTTCCGGGAACTTTTCCTTTAATAAATCAATGGTTGGGGCAGTAGTGTGACATGTGGCACCGTCCTGTTGGAAAAACATGCCATCCAAATCCATTTCATCCAACTGAGGCCACAAAAAATCCGTTATCATCGTTCGATACCTTTCACTGTTGACTGTTACACCATATTCGAAAAAATAAGGTCCGATGATGCCACCATGCCATAAACCACACCAGACAGTGACTTTTTCTGAATGCAAAGGCTTCTTAAGAATCTCATGTGGATTATTTTCACTCAAAAAACGAAAATTTTGCTTATTCACAAAGCCGCTTAACTAGAAATGAGCTTCATCGGAAAAGATTTTTTTTTTGGAAAAATCGCGCCATCATTTTCGAGTTTTCTAGAGCCCAATAAGCTTATGATGGTCAAGTGACTTCGGTTCTTGAGTCAGAATAATCTTGTAAGGGTGTAGGCCTAAATCTTTTCTCAGAATTCGCCAAGTTGTCAGTCTGGTGAGTCCAACTTCTTGAAAACGACGATTTACGAGTAAATTCACGTTCAGACTTTTCCACGATTCGACGAATTACACGCACATCAGGACGTTGATTTGGTCAATAATTTTCACGTAATGCACGATAGGTATTCACAAACGAACGATTATTAGCATAACATTTTAGGATAATTTCCAAACGTTGTTCAAGCGTATATCTTGCCCTGATAATTTGTTAGAGTATACTAAATACAAAGGTTAACAAGTGACAGTTCTACCATTTTCAAAATGGCCGCTCTGACCTGAATGAATACTGACTAATAATGAATGAATCTGACCTCTGAATACTTATATGAATTGTTAAAAACTATTCAGTCAATCGATATTACGAAACAAGACGTATACATTATTTAAAATGGTTATAAAACTAATAAACAAAAATAAATTTTTATTTAAAATTTTATAAAAGGTATATGATAAAATACCCAAACGGGCTATATCAAATTTACAGAAATTTTTCGGAATGTAAATTCAATCATCAGTGTAACCTGAAAGATAATATAACCACTTTAATTAAAAAGACAGTAAAATTTGAAACGTTGACTAAGGTTAATGCAAAATGTGGTTAATACTTACGAAGTATACATGCTATGAGCCACTAAAATATGTTAATTTAAATTTTTGTTCATTATATATTATTAAAAATTAAGATGTTTAAGCTACCGTTGGAATTGCTAACATGGCGACGTATGACTCTACATAAGGTTACTTGGTCCTGAGACAAAGTTTCTACGAGGACCTGTTGATAACAACAGATAAAAATGACAATATTGACATGTTAGGACGGATGTCGGAACAAAGCAGTTAGTGCAACTTATGGTAGTTGTCTAAATATGACAGAGGAATTGGTTCTTAGAAGTGAATGAACCAGATTAATTGTTTCTTGTTTGGGGACAGAGGTAAATAGATTGCTAACATCAAATGAGAGCATAGTAATGTTGGGGTGAAGATTAATCTGTTGTAGGTTATTGACTAGATCTAATTCCAAAGACCCCATCAATTATATGAACAGTAGTGGTGTTTATAGACTAAAATGTTCAGATTGTGATGCCACCTACATAGGAAGAATATGTAGATCATTGTCTTCACGCTCTCTAGAGCACACAAAAAGAGAAAATACTTCCACTTTCTTTCAACATCTTAAAGAACATAACAACACCCTCAATATCCCAGAAGACGTTTCACTTATTCATAATATCCCTCAAAAAACTTTCTCAAACTAGACTTATATGAAGTCCTAGAAATTATTAAAGAAAAACAGAGAAGTCCAAATTGTGTTAATCGTCATGTCTCATTCAATCGAGAGTAATTCTCATTTTACTTCTGCATTAGTATTTAGATTTTTCGTTCTTCTCTTGTCACCTATTAATCCTCCTTAGTCCTCTCAAACTTTTTTCAATATATCCAACTCCCCATCTTTCCCTACTTCTTTCTAGGAATCTAAGCGTCAAGTCTGACCCTATACATGATATTCTCCATGCTCCTTTTCGACAAACTAAATTCAGAGATTATTCCACTTCCTCACTAAATCATTCATTAACATACATCTTCACCTAATTATCCACATATCATCACCTTTTCATTCTATTTTTACTACACCTTATTTTACTCATCCATTTTTCCCTCAGGTTTTGGTTTCGGATCTCTGAAGACTTCAGCCTCTTGTAGAGTCTTATCTCTTTTCACAACAATATTAAAACATCACATATCTTTAGTTAAATTTAACAGAGCCACCTACAACCCAACTACTCTTGTAGTTTTTACATATCTTTACAATACACACCAAAAGCCTATTAACTTCATCTACCTACCTTAAGCTCAAAACTTATAACTCATCCTTTTTATATTTCTCAGGTACCAAACGTTCATTTTAACATATAGGGCCTTTTTCTTAAGTTATAACTTGAGCAATATATGAACAATACAATACAAAACCACCTTTCAGCCATCAATTTTCTGTTTGTCTTGCATACTTGTCAACACATACAAACAACTAACCATCTTTATTCTTCACACCGAACGAGTAATTTATGTTCATGAACTTATAACTTAAAAAATCTTTTATATTTACCAGGTACCAAATGTTGTTTTTTGACATAGAGGGCCTTCCATGCTTAAGTTGTAAGTTAAGTACTACATGAACATTACATTACAAAAGCATTTTATCATATTTAAATTTCATCTCTACAGTATATTCAAACATATCATTTACTATATAATACTAATAATTACTCCTTAATAATAAAGTTTATAGAACCATCTTCCAGCATATGTCTTTTTTCCATTTTCTAGGTACCAAATGTTGCATAACATACAGGGCCTTTTGTTAAAATCTTTAGTTAAGAACAAATAAATTCAGACTTATGTATGGCTGGTTGTCTATCGATACCCACAAAATTTGACCGTACTTCAGTCTACCTACATTAATTTATAAAACAATTTTTTCAATGTTCTCAACATAAATATAGGACAAATTCACATTACAAACTACAACATTGATGGTTGCTACTGTTATATTATTTTTATTTTAACTTATTCAATTTTAAATATTGCTGGCTTCTGTCATATTTAGACAACTACCGTAAGTTGCACTAACTGCTTTGTTCCGACATCCGTCCTAACATGTCAACATTGTCATTTTTATCAGTTGTTATCAACAGGTCTTCGTAGAAACTTTGTCTCAGGACCAAGTAACCTTATGTAGAGTCTACGTCGCCATGTTACCAATTCCAACGGTAACTTGAACATCTTAACTTTTAATAATATATACTACTACTACTAAGGATTTCCACAGTTTTCACTGTCTTCCTTCACTCAACCGTTTTCTCCAATTTTCCCTGTCATTCCAGTCTCCATCTCGCAGGGTTATTTTCTCCATAGCCTCGTCGATTTCGTCTCCGTATTATATATATTCTCTTTTTTGTCTTTATCGTAATGTTCTTATCCCACAGCACTGAATTTAGTTGTCTTATACAGTTTCTTGTTTGTCTTAGTCTGTTGTTTATATCTTCTTCTGTTGTTCCCTGGTTCGATATTATGGTTCCTAAATACTTGAATTTATCTGTTCCATTTACTTGTCTTCCCTCGTCTATCTCTAGGTTTCTCATATCCTTGTTTTCTGTTGTTAGGTGGTTTTCTCTAAGTTTATTTCCATTCCGTTGTTTTTATATTCTTCTTCTAGTTTTCTGAGCATAAAGCTGAGATCTTCTTCATCTTGTGCGATGACTACTTGATCGTCGGCAAAACTTAAGGTGTATAGGTATTCGTCTCTTACTGGTATGCCCATTTAATAATATATAATGTAACAAAAATTTAAATTATTAACATTTAACGGGGTTTTACCCATATATTTTAGTGAGTCATATCATGTATACTTCGTAAGTATTAACTACATTTTGCATTAACCTTAGTCAACATTTCAAATTTTACGTTCTTTTTAATTAAAGTGGTTATATACTTTTAGTTACACTGATGATGGAATTTACATTCCAAACACGTTCTGCAAATGTGATATAGCCCGTTTGGGTATTTTATTATATACTTTTTATAAAGGATTTTAAATAAAAAAATTTTGTGATACATGGTATACAGCCAGCTACAGGAACTTAGTTTCCTAGTGGATGATACACAACACTCAAAATCAAAACAGCAAATTAACCTCAAAGATAAATAAACAACAACAGGGTACAAAAATTACATCGAATGATCCAATTTGAAAATTAGAATTTGTGAAACTTTAACCAAACCTTCAACTTATAACTAATATCAACTTACATTGAAGAAACTGCCGATTGAGAGCGAACTGTACCGATCGTAAGTTCTAGTACTTGACATAGCTGGCAACAATGCCGCCGTTCAAAGAATTAAATTTCGGGAAAATTAAAATATTAAAATTTGATGTACGTGCTGCCATCTACTCAAATAATTGTTAAACGTTAGTTTATTTGAATACCACTCATTTTAACTGCGGCGTGAACATACCTCCTTAATACTTTTATAAGAATCTTTTATTTTAAAAAAATCTGTAAATGTTTGAAATTTTCCTAACCTAAAATATTGCTTCGTTTTGCCGATTTAAATTGCATTAAATTTATAAATAAAAAAATAAATATATTTACCTCCGTTGTAGGTGGATAAGTAGGTACGAGATGGCCCACCAAAGTAGGAATATATTGAGACCAGAAAGCTGATTCGGTCTGTCGAAAGTTCCACATTATTGAAGAATTATAAGTTGTATTCAAATTTAGATATTTTAGCTGTCCGTGTTTAGATTCTTCAAAATGTAGCCCTAAAATTTGAGTATGAGTAGGATTTCCATATCTAGCAAAATCCGAATATGCCTTCATGAAGAAGTGACTCATATTTCTGTCGTTTCTCGTCCACTGATCACGAACAAATCGTTCTTCGGAAGGTAACATTTCAATATCTAAGAATGGCGCTCCACATAAAAGGTAGTGCTCGATGTCATGGGGAACTTTTCTCCATTCGGAAAGGTTAAATGATTCCACAGTAGTATTTAATACGTACATATAGACTGGTACATTTTGTTCAATCAATAGTTTTACCATTTTATCATTTGGAGCAGTGTATAAAAAGTCAGAAAGTAGCTAAAATAAAATAGGAAGCTATAGTAAACAAAAATTTACAGAATGGTTTGGGTTTTTAGGACCCATCCAATTTACAATTAACCCTTTCCAGTCAGATAATCCCATTTGGGATCATAGCAATGTGCTGTAGCGGCAAAGGAAACTACTTATGTCGATTTGGCGAACGGCATTGCGTTGCCTCACCTTCTTACTAGATGACGCTGCATTAATTTATTTGACAATTCTATCAGTAAGCGTTAGTCACATTTCAATGTAAAACTTCGTAGTGAAACAATGATCATCAATTCATTGGAAATTTCAAATTATTTTAAGGTGAGTAATTGAACCAGTAATTGCACGAAAAAATGTATTTTACTTCTTACATTGATTTTATTTAATAATTTGCATCATAGCTTGTTCATATTTACAAGATTGTTTATGTAAACATTATAAATATCAATGAATCCAAATGGAATCATTGGGCCATTGTGGAGGTCTCTAAATGGCATCATTGGGAAGTCGTGTGAATTTTGTTACTGTCAATAAAATACAAAAGTACAATATACTTTTTTATTTCAGATGGATCTTGTGTTCAAAACTACCAAAATCAAACTTTCTTTTCGGGAATTGCAAAATCTGTCCCAGGAAGAGGTGATTGGTCTTCTTGACGACTCTGATATCGAATTTGATGTTAATGAGGAAGAGACTTTGGAAGAAAAAATGATTGAAGCAACTAAAATAGAGTTATTATTGGAAAATATTATTGAAGATAGCTTGAACACCTAAGTTACAGAGAATATGGAAGAAAAAACTGTTGAAGAAATTACAGAAGGACCACAGACAAATCATGCCAAAAAAAGCATAGAAAAACCAACTTGGACAGACAACAATTTAATTGATGTAAACGGCGAATACAGTGGTGATTTTTCGGTTGATGAAAATATTTATACGCCTTTTCAATATTTTAAAATGTTTTGTGACAATGATATTATTCAAAATTTTGCTGAGCAGACAAACTTGTATTATGTGCAAAAAGACAGTAAAAATATTGATACAAATGCAGTAGAGATATAGCAGTTCTTAGGCATACAAGTATTGAGTGGAATTGTTCGCATTCCTTCGTATAGAATGTATTGGGCAGAAGAAACGTGATATAATACGATAGCTGATATTATGTCACGTAATCATTTTGATAAACTGCGAGCATATTTTCACGTCAACGATAATTTGAAAGTCTCGTCTAGCAACAATGACAAATTAGATAAAGTAAAACCTTTCATTGAAAAAGTTCGGCAAAACATGAATAAGATAGAACCTGAGGAATTCAACAGCATCGACGAGTTTATTATATCATTCAAAGGACATAGTAATCTAAAGCAATATATAAAAAATAAACCTCATAAATGGGGCATAAGAGTTTCTGCAAGAGCAGGATGCAGCGGCATACTATACGATTTTGACATATATGTGGGAAAGGAACAGTCCAAGATGATCATCAGTCCAATCAAGTCTTGGGAAAGACTTAGTGGTAAAATCTTAGTCTTAGTGGGAAAATAGTACTGAAGTTGGTCAGAAATCTGCCAAGCCACATGAATTTCAAGATTTTCGCGGATAATTAGTTCACATCTTATAATCTACTTATTAGTCTGAAAGAACGGGGCTTTCTTGCTGCAGGGGCTGTAAGAAGTGACCGGCGTGCAGAATTTCTGCACTTCTTCAGTTCTAATGATTGTAAAGTCATATATAGATGTCAAACAATTCAAATGCATATGTTGAGATGTTATAAATACATTAAATAAATACAATATAAGTTATCTTAAAAAAATTACATTCAGAATTATATTTAAAATTTATACAAACATTGAAAAGTTACAAAATGTCACAATATGTTAACAAGAAAAGTATAATATAATACAACACTTCTATTCTATCGCTGATGTAAAATATTTCGAAACATGAAGCCAGGAGAAAAAGTACCTTGTTTTTATTGAGCTCAGCGAACAATTTGAAAAAACTATTTTTATTGAAAAAACATGGAAGTTAACTTTATTGTTAGATACACCAAAGTAATTAAAAGAAAAAAAAAAGGAACTATTTTTGATAGATAGGGATCAACTATTCCGAAAAGCAAAACAAACAATAAAATGGCTTTGGAAACCAGTCTCTGTATGAAGAATTAACTGATGACAAAATTACTAATTTGCAGGACAGAATAGAAAAGTCAATTTGATTAAAATCTAATTAAAAGAGGGTTGGTAATAAAATGTAAGGATGACCATTGCTGGGGGACCATGTGGTTCCTTTTGGAAAGGATTTTACATCGAAGTGTGATGTATGAAGATTGCTAAAGTTCTCATTGAAATGAATTGAATCATTCGATGACTCCTGTATTGTGAAAGCATCTTTTGTTTTTGTGTAAATCTTCGATACCGTTTTCACATTTTTGGTTGTAATTTTTAAGCCACTAACATTTTTTGAAGATGTTCATTAGCTTAGGTGTCAGAACTGGAATGTAGGGTAGGCAACCATAAGTTATTTTAAATGGTAATATTGATGTGTTATGTGTCAATGTCAATTGTCGGATCTCATTGTTATGAAAATTTTGGTTGACAGAAACTTGCGAAGGAAAAGGAGAACCGAAAATGAGTTTATTTAACAGTCCTATGGGATAAGAATTCTCTTGTAGTATAGATCTCAACTTTTTTAGTCCCTTGTCCCTGAATTCAATGTGTGACAAGGTGATAACCCTAGTTTTTAGAGTCAAAACCAAATTTGTTTTCATCTTAGACAGATGTTGAGAATAAAAGTTTATGAAACGGTTACTAAAAGAAGCTTTACACAAAAACAAAAGACCCAATATCCAGGATTTCTATATATATATATATATATATATATATATATATATATATATATATATATATATGTATATATATATATGGTGGACTTAATTATCTCTTAAATGGGTGGTCCGCATTAAAAAAAAGAGGAATACACTTATTGCCAGATTTATCATTTTTCTGATAATTAAATACAACACTACTCAGAAGAATCAAAACATTCCTACCTGTATATATTCATTTCTTATGTGTGTAACATTATCTGGATCAGGCCAATACGTATACATATACTTTATTGCATCGAATATTCCATTGGGATTTAAAGTGTAGTTGTATCTTAAAACCAGCTCTCTTACTTTTTGATCAAAAAAAATCTTGATTTATTCTGAAATTGGGCTCCAATGTTTTGTTGGAAGCTAAAAATTGTAAGATATATATATATATATATATATATATATATATATATATATAATATATATATATATATATATAACAATTGTAGTATTATCTACTTCAATATAGGGTATTGTTAGTATAAATATATTCTTATAAATATTAAAAAATATTTACTTATAAATCCAGCTGCCTCTTGTAAGGTAACACTTGACATATACCGCAAACCTTGGTTAAATGACCTCTTCTTGATTAGAGTTTCAACATTGTCACTGATAAAATGCCAATCTTTTCTATCCCATCCTTCATAGTCAGGCACTGTCACATTCATTTCTATGACAGGTGCCCAAGGAAAAAGGCCTACCTCAGGCGGGAATTCAGCATTACCTATTTCGAAAGCACTTCTAGAATTTTTAAGACAATTTACCAGTTTCCATGATGATTCTATACTACATCCAATTTGTCTTCCAAAAACTCTACTGGTATTCTGAGCTCTGTATCTGTCAAATATCATTGCCCAATCTGCAACTGCTGAACCACTCTGAAATAAATTAAAATAAATTATGAAAATTCTAGAAGTTTTGTATATTTCTCCCACAATGTATTCAACTTATTATATATTATATTTGAGAAAATTTTCTTACCTGTGCAATGACTTTAGTAACAATATGACTTGTTTGGGGAGCAACCATAAGCAACCCAGCAGAAGCAGCTCCAGCACCAGGTCCAAATAGTGTTATACTATCTCTATCACCATTAAAATGTTCTGCATTGTCATACACCCATTTTACAGCCATTGCTTGATCCAGTATCCCATAATTTCCAGGGGAATTTACATCACCTGTACTCAAAAATCCTAAAGCTCCTAGTCTGTAGTTAAATGTAACAACCACAACTTTGTAGAAGGTAGCCATGATGTGACCAGGAAATGTGTTAGAAGCTCCATGAATGAAGTCACCACCATGAATATAGATCATTACTGGATATTTGTGTCCTGTTCCTTCTGTCTGAAAAATATAATATGGATATATGGAAAATTATGGACAAATTAAATATCGATAATGATCAATAAATGATTACAGAACCAAAAATTATTATTTCAATATAGTGAATTATCTAAATTAGTTGTGGGAATATGGCATTGATGTCCACAACATATTTATAGATTTCAAAAAGGCCTATGGCTCAATTAACTTTAACATCTCCCGGTAAGATTGAAGGCATAGTTTGGAGGAGGTCAAGGCTCGATTTGGGCTGTAGTGCCATTGGAGAGAGAGAATTATCTAAAAACAAAAATTTGGAAGAAAAACTAATTATAATGCAGCTAATAGAAAAAGTAGGAATAAAGAAGCAAACATTGGCACTGGTCTTGAGAAAACCTCTAGTTGAATACCTCGAAATGTTTTGTGAATATGTGTGACTGAATATAAAAAAGGAATTATAGGGGGATAAATTATTCTGTTAAAGAGTTCTTCTTTACATTTCTTTATTACTTCTTTCCATTTTCTGAATCCCAAAAAAGTGGGACATGGTGAACAGAAATCATGTCTGTGCAAGGAAATAAAATTGGTATGAGTCAACATAGAAATACAATTAAAGTTTGTGACTGCATAGTGATTAAGACAATGAAAATTATGAATGTCTTATATAAAATGAAGAATTTATTAAGGTTTTATCAAATAAAGTTAAATATCAAAATGATGTTTAAACCAGGAGTGGTTTTGAACAGTCTATAAAATCCGCAAAATACTTACTATGTCAGGAGTAAAAACATTAAGATACAAGCAATCCTCATCAACATCTCGTATTCCTAAAGTAGCACCTGTGTATCTAGCTGGTTGTGGACATGCTGGACCAAAATCCACTGCCTGCATTAATTGCCAGCTTTTGTGAAGCCTTGGGGGCTAAAATATATATTTTATTTCAATTTTTTATAAAAAATGTACAACGGGCCAAATTGGTATAGTTATTTTTTTAAATAAATGCACATTAATTATACAAATAAAATAGAACAGAATATTATGGGAACAGTAATAAAATAAAACTTAAAATAAAGGGCTGATCTGGTTTTACAAAATCTTATTTTGATGGAAACTGAAAGGGTTTCAATCTAATACATTATAAATTAAGTATTATACAAGCATGTTTACAAAAAATATGGCCATTTTCAATACCATTTTTCAACTCTGAGTGCTAATTTTGCAATAACAATTGATCGAAATAAAAGCTTAAATTAAAACTTTTCCAATGCAGTGTTTTATAATTTTATGGCTATATTTTTTGACATAGACAGGCTAGATAACACAGAATAGGTTTCAAAAATTCACTAATTTGTGCATGAAATTAACCTTTTTTTACCCATTACCAAAAAAAGAAAGAAAAAAGTAAGAAAAAGAAGTATAATTGTAGGAATAAGATAATGAGGAACAATATAACAGTACCAAAATAGGAATAAACACATTGAGAGAAAGTAATTGAAGACTCGAGTGGATAAAGGAGGTAACTAACAAAATTATACAATGGAGAAAAAGCAGATTAAAATTTTAATTTTTAAATATGTTGTGAAGTTGCATTATGTAATTGTGCGTTTTGTTTTAAATGTTTTCGGCGAGTAGATATTAATGTTCCATTTTATGTATGCAACTTTGTTAATTCGCTTTTTGTTTTAAAAACCCAAAATTTTGAAAAAACTACACATACCTCCTTTCTCCATTGAAATTTTTTTACTATACTAGTTGTTTTTTTTTAAGAGTTGTTAAGTCAAGGTAAAATAAAATAAACGAGCTGAATACATACATTTTATTAAAAAAAAAGTTAATTCTATTTGTAAAACAAATAAGTTTCCATATAAAATGTCAAGTAGTAACAGTTTTTCAATAAAAAATGTTTAATTGATTAATTATTATTCTGTTCATTTTCGGTAATAATCGCATTATAATACCATTCATAGGGTTGCTTGACAAACTGAAGCTGACTCTTGAGATTTGCCACTTTTTCAGTAGATAACTTGGCCAGTTTTTTCTCTAATTCTTTCAATCTCGCAATCAACTGGTTGGGTCTGACGCGAGTTCCTAATTATATTTACATCTTTAAAGGGTGTTTGAATCATAGCTCTCTTTATATAAAGAGAATCTATAATTACAAACACGTATTCATTTTATTCCATCTCGAAATGGGACAGTTTCATTTAAAGTAACATTCTTGCGATTAACTAAATTTAAATTCTGGGCCAAATCGTCAAATTTTTGGAAGTGTATACGCATATCTGTGACATGATTTATTTTAATTGCTTAGGTAATTATGATTCTATATTCCTCAGGTAAAAATATATTTTCATGTTGACATAACACTTTTTCGATACGTCCGAAATCTCTATCAGAGTCTAAAAAACTATGTCCAACCTCAGGAAATTTATGGTCAATAGTCTTTACAATTCCTTTTAGTATAAGGTACTAAACACAGACATATGATCAAGAAGTTTTTATTTTGACCTGCGCAAGAGTCGATCCATAGTATCAGATGAGATATAGCATTATCTTGAAAAATATTATTTTATTATGGTTAGTAAGGAACTACATACTTCAGAGCTTCCTCTAAGAGCCATGTCCTCAGTCCATGTAAAAAAGTTAGCCTTTTCTGAAAGTTTTTAATGCAATGTATCCCTAAATTATACATCCACATCTGACGAAGATTAAAAGCCTTACTAGTTGTTAATTTAGGAAGGGGAAGTGTTGGTGGCATATCCATAGTTAGATAACATACTCCATCTTTGTTTTTTTTGCTCACGATCTGCACGTTGTACAGAAAAAGCTGCCTCGTAATTTTTCTTATGTTGCTCATTAGCGTTTCCACTGTCGCAAGTACTACAAGTGTCACTGCGACATTCACCAAATGATATAAATTAATTTTTTTAGGGAATATGTTGCTATAGGTACAGCATTTTATTTGAAAACAAGACGGTTTATTTTCCACAGTGCATTTTTCAAGATATAGTTTATACCTACATTTTTGATATATTTAATGTACAGGCAAGATACTGTTTATTCGGGCTTTTGATTCTGGAGTAATGCGACTGGGTGGCAGGAAACAAGCTAATATGTTCCATAATATATAAATTTACGTATTCTGGCATTTTGTGTGGTCTATTTTCATGCTTCTCTCTTTTGCAAACACTAGGCATTTGCTGATCGTTCTTTAGTTCTTGTTGTAAGTTTTCTATCTTTTTTTTGCCAATTTGAAACAGAGAACAGAATGCTTTTTTACAAACAAATGTTTCTGTAGTATCAATGCAAATTTTATAAATAAAAGATGCAGACCTGCTACGAAAAGCATTTTTTTTTGGCCTTGCTGGTTTCTTAAAACTCATACTCTTAAAGAGATATATATTTTTCATGTCTTCAGTTGCCAGTTGGTAGTAGCCAGAAAATATTTTTGTTCTTTGTTCTAAAGATGTGCTTATTAGTTCTTTTAAATGAACTAGTTCAAAAAAACTATTTCGCAAAAAATGAAAGATCGCGAAAGAACTATTGTAGGACTGAAATCAAAATCCACCCTTAACATAACTGGTTGCCAGATGTCTTTCGGTCTTTTTCTTCGGTTTTCAGTCAGTCTTTCACTACTGTACGGCATACAAGTAGTTCAGATTCAGAACCATTTCTTTCGATCATATGTTTAGGTTTAAATGTTTAGTTAATTTTTCTTTATAATTTATTTTCTTAATCAATCCCTAAAGATGAGTAACAGACAAAATAGATGTTTTTTTATGGGATCATTTCGAGATAAACAATAAAAATCAAAAATCTACAAAATGTAATTACTTTTCATGTAACGTTAGTATTGCAAGTGGTTCACTGGGCCATTTTTCAAGACATTTAAGAATGAAACACCCTGCTATCAATCTCAAATATCTCAATGTTGAAAGATACATGGAAAAAGGACCCAAAAAATCAGAAAATACATTTCAAGAACCTCAACCTTCAACATCAAAATCAGTTTCGCTGGTAGGACAATCAGGAAAGATGAAGAGAAAGCTGTTATAATTCTTAAGAAAAAGCCTGTTCCTATTCCCCTTATTTCTATCAGGGACTATATAATTCGACCCGTTCCATTCAAAATATATGATCTCATTTATTCATTATTTTCTTCTTTAAAAGTTGAGACACAATTTATCATGCAAATCGTTCACAGTGAACTAGTTCTATGAAAATTAATGAACTAGTTTAATTAGTTCAGTTGAAAGAATAGTTCATTTGAACTATTTTAATGGTGAACTACACATCCCTACTTTGTTCTAAATTGATTTTATCATGGCATTTCTTTTTGCATTTTTAACTACAAAGCAAACCAACATTTACACTTTTACATTGTATTATTTGTCCTTTTTGATTTATGTACAATTGACCTAGCTGTCTAGCTTTACTTGCAGTATTTCTTTTCCATAAATTTGGATCACTAGATCTCTTGCTTTGGTTTCTACTTTTTTAAATTATTTTTGTTTCTTTTTAGATAAATCATTAAAAACGTTTTCCTTGTTGTTTTCATTTTGTTGAAGAGATGATAAGGTATTTATCTTCAGTCTTTTTCAATTGTCGGATTTCAATATACAATCATTGTCGGAATCTGTGTCTGTGGTATCACTAGAACTGGGTAAATACTCATCACTTTCAACAAATAATAAGTATTAAATGACAGAAAATAATGTTTTGAGGTCTCATGCTTCATACCTTCTTCAATATTGCTATACCCTGTATGTTGCTGTGAACAACTTATGATTTCACCTATATTTGTGTTAGTTTCTGGGTTGTCCAATGTATTGTGTGTTTCAGATGTGTATCTGATGCACCTGAGGAAAGTGCTTCAATATTAACATCTAATTCTACAATAAACAACAATAAATTATACTCGAACATATCTAAATGCATTAAAAATTACCTTTTAAATCTGATACTCGGGAGGTATTCAATAGTTGCTCAGATACTTCATGCAGGTTTTCTGAAATGTCAGGTTATGTATACCCATACTCAGTAAATAGCTTTTTCTAGTACTTACCATACAACTTTAATGCCATTTTCAACATTAAATTACTTCCGAATGTCATTATCACTATAAATTTAACACTCCACTAAACTAACATAAACTTTTTAAGAGAAAATATTTCTTTAAAAGTGCATGCTCCTTTTCCTATTAAAACATTTTGTTATGGATAAAGGAGACAACTGAAGTCAACATAGTGTCATCTAGTGGATAAGAGAGGTATCTACAAATTTTAGTGAATTAACGAGGCAACTACTGCAGTTACCTTTTTTATCTGTGTGCTTCAATTAAAATAATGTCTCTTATTCCTTTTATGATTTTGAAAGTTTTCTATTTCTTTATATTTTTGCGTTGAAGTCGGTGCTATATGCGATATTGTCACTTGACCCTTTTAACAATGTGAAAAAGTCTATTTTTCAAAAAATGTTAGTTACCTCCTTTATCCACTTGAGTCTTCAATTGATAATATTGAAAATAGAAGACTAAATAGCTGAATTCCAATATAACATTTTTTAATCTCACCTTAAATCTACCTTCAAAAACAGGTGGTTGAGCATATGGAATACCTAAAAAGGCACTTGCAATACCTTGCTGTCTTTCGATGAATTCTGAGCCTGGTCTATATAAGGATTCTGGATCAGGATTGTCAAAAAGGTAAACTTGAAAACCTTGAACAGTTCCATAAACTGTATCAACAAATACATCCCTTAGTTTTTCCCTAGTTTGGTCCCTTTTTTTGCCTTGTAGATCTTCTCGCCAGCCTCCTAGAATTCCAGGTAAAATAGGTTCTGCAATTCCAGCCTATAAATATAAATGATATAGTAAATATTTTAATATTTAAATATTTAAATCAATAATAGCATCTTATTTCCATAGTACACTTTTTTTAAACATTTTAGCACCTGGTTTTTAGTTAAAATTTTAGGAATGTTTATCCTACTTTAGGTATGTACAAATAGTGTTCAACCCATGTTAAAATAGCTAAATAATAATAATTACTCGATAATAATGATTATTTAAAAATGTAAATATGTAACCACATTATGATTTTACAAAGGATGTCTTGTGTATGCAAATCAACAATGATACTACTAAATTATTGTACAAGGTAGGAAGTAGTGATATAGAATATGTTTTCTTATGTTTATGTGTAAAAAATAGCTTAAATAAAACATCGCTTCATTACTTTGATGAAATTTGATAACTGGTATTAAAACTATGTAAAATAGAATTATTACATGATTACACAATTTCTATGGAATAGACAGGATTACTTAAACATAATTTTTGTACATGCCATTCATTCATACACTGTATATATCATTGTATAAAGGACACAAAGTGTAGTATTTAGTTCATAATGCAGAAAATATTAAAAAATAAAACTACACATTTCTGATGATAATTGACATGACTCATTACATAAAGAAGTACTGTGAGGAAGGATTGATTAATTAAAAGCTATTAAAACTACTTTATGATTAATTCATTGATCTTTTACCGCTATTTTCGGTTTGCTAGGATATAAAATAGATATTACTGTATTAAATAAATATGTATGTCATGATTCATTCTAAAATCTGAAAAAAAAACATACCCTATCATATGAAAATCTTTCATCCTGTCCTCTGATTCTAGGATCTCCTGGCCTTTGGCCGTAATAATTTGAGTTATAATTCTGTCCATATCTTCTCCCTTTATATAAGTATGTAGAACTATGATCATACTCTGGATTATTGGGAATATATGGTGGCCGTGGGCCAAATTCGTCATACGAATTAGGAATGTTTTGTTGATATCCGTTTGAATACCTTGTGTATTCATCGTATTGCCCTCCAGTATCACTTAAACAAAATATTAATAATAACAAAATGATTTTATACTGTTTTCTATAGGGCGGCGCCATTGTTGATCATACTTTGTTTTTGTGTTTAGTGTTTATATTTTGACAAGTGATAACTGAACACAGCACCCAAAGTATACCCAGCGTAAGTGGACTAGGACGGGTGGGGAGAGTGATTTGTATGGGCCCAGCCGTTCGTAGTGGCGACGGCGCTACTAGTCACTTTAGGTGGTGGTGTCATAGGGGAGACGCATGTGAGGTGGCGGAATTTGATTTAGATTGGGACTTGAGACGCCATTGCAAATCAGAGTATATATACTCTGACAGCACCAAAAAAGTATAGATTATAATATAGAAGTATATAGAAGGATTTTTCACTAACATTTTTCAACGTCGGCAAAGGTTATACACAAAACAGTCAAAAGAATAGAAATTGATCATGATTTTAGTACCTTATTTATACCACTAGGGAGCAGTCATATTTCTTTCCTTGTCTAAGGTTTATATTCTTTGACAGCACACTCCCAAGGTAATGAGAATGACACAGAATTCTGTAATAATAATACCTGAAAAGTGAAAATTAAAACTATAAAGTATTTTACATAAGAGTGTGACAAAATTTGACAATGAAAATAACGGTTACAAATTTAATAATTGTACACCTGTGCCACAGAATAAATAACAATCATAATGCCCACTCTTAGACGCCTCCTCTGAAGTTTGTCAGCAAGCGATCGCCATATTTTAGACGGTTGTGACAAGCTAGGATAGAACTGTAATTTAAATTTTTAGAGATTAATAATTTAGTACATAATTTAATCTATTCTTCAACTAAAAGTACGAATAAAATAGTGCATATTATGTCTATAGTTGGCGTAAATAAATTAAACCGGGTTAATTTTTCTATGCACACCAGATAAAATGCCACTGAATAGCACTGGTTCCGACTAAAACATGGCTGACTCCGTCTGCGCGAACGAGATGCGTGTACTTATTTTTTCAAGCAGAGTGGGCATTCTGATTGTTTATTATTCTGTGTCTGTGCGCACTCATTGATCATAATAATCTACATTAAATTATTTATTTTATTTTCTCTTCAAACATAAGCAGGTGTCTGTTTTACAAGATTCTGTAATATCCTGTAAACAGACCTCTACTTACATTTATTTTTCATAGTTGGATTGTTCATCTTAATTGTGTTCAGAACATCGCGCTACAGAGATAGAGCATATAAGTTTCAAAGTCCACAACAAAGAAACACATAGTTCCTGTCATCTAGAGAACAATGATAACAGTCATAAAATAACGTGGTAACAAAGATCTGTCTGTGATATTCTACCTCTACACTCTCTACAATTTTAATAAAATGTCAATAATGTCAAATATGAAAGCTGAATAAATTATAAGTAAAAAATAATACAATATTTGGATTGGTTAAAATTTGTTTTACAGTGAAATTAAAAGCCTCTCTTAGGGTAATATAAATATTTCTGGTTTCTAAACGAAATAAGGTCAGCTTATAAAGAAACTGCGAAAACAATTATATTATATTATGTCTACTGTGGAATACTTTTGGAAATCTAAGGACTTCTTCACTGGTAAGATTAAATATCTCCTCACTGTTAATATTAAATTATGACCATTCACTACGGCTAATTTTTCATAAAATTTAGTAAGCAAAGCTATATTTGCTGTAATAAATCTTGAGGATTTATACATTTTTAAAATCAAGGAATACACAATCAACAATATACAATTCTGTTAGTCTATTATAGGCACCTATCAATAAAATAGAAATTTGTGTGATTTAAGGTACCTACTTATTTAAGCAATGTTTAAAATGCCTAAAAAAAGATAGCATTGTTTTGCCATTTAGTTTATTTTGTTTAAATAATCTCAGTTTTTAAATCTAGATAAAAGAAAGTTACCTGTCAATTGTGTGAAAAAGTTTAAATGCTGGAAATAGAAATAATATATTACCTAATATTTTTAACCATTTAAAAATAAGATGTTAGAAGTAAAGTCTATTAGATTCCTCCTTCCATGTAGGTTATAAGTAAACAATAAGTACATATCTTAACAACTTCACTGCCCCAATGGTAACATATACCCAGAATCTACCACACCCAACATTTTTAATATTAAAGCAACATCTATTTCAGCATCTCATTTGAATCATGGGTGTACATATGACTTTATGTTTGTTTCTCTATGAAAACTCAGTAATATGATAAAAAGAGATCTGTCAAGGTATCATTTTATCTATTGTTTTTTATTTGTCCTGCTCCATAAACTTTTTAACATTTTGTGTGTGAATCACATGATAATATGATGACTATCTGTCATTATCACAGAGCCAAGTCATGGCTCACATTTTAACACTTTAAATGGCAATACTAGGTCTCTTTTTATGTGTTAATATTCAAATGTGGTGTATTAGTCCAAAAAGATTTTTAAAAATGGTAATAATATTATAATACTTACATATTAATATTTTTCAGATGCATGGTGATAGTGCCATAGACACATGTGTGTTATTAAGATTTTCTGCATCCAAAGCTAAACTAGATTGAATAACTATTTTAGTAATATCACTTCCAAAGAAAATAAAATGGGTGACTTGTACTTAAATGTCAATTTGGTGTTAGATAGTAAACCAATCTCAGTTCCTTATACTGCAAATAAGACAACAGCAGAAGATATTTGTATTTATATTTGTAAACAACTGAATATTGGAAACTTGACCCGTCATGTGTTTGGTCTTCGTTTGAGTGGAAAAAATGTTTTCCTTATGTCAGCAGCTACCTTCACTGAAAAACCTTCACCTCTTGACTTTAGAATAAGATTTAAAGTTGCAAATGTATTCAAGCTAAAGAAATTAGATGTCAATACCTATAACTATTATTTCCACCAAGCAAGAAATGATGTTCTAGAAAATAAGATACCAGATATTATTTATGAAAAGTGTAGAAGGGAATTAGTTGGATTAGGGATTACTGATATGTTTAGAGTAATGTTAGAAAAAGACATACCAAGAGAAACTGTGGAGAGTGAATATAAGAAATATATTCCCAGAGAGGTTATAAAGAGGCATGCATTTTTCATCAAGAAGCCAATACATGAAACACTTGGTAAATTACAGAAATCTGATCATGATGCATCATATGTAAAAACTGAGTATTTAAAACAGTTGGAAACATTGGCACCTGAATACTTATCTGAATCATATAAAGCTGTAGTGGATCAAGATGGGTCTATTTGTAATATAATTATAAAAGTTTCTCCTTATCATCCTACAGAACCAGGTGTGAAATATTGTTTGGAATCAAAGAAGGATCAGTGGAATTTAATATGTACAATAGAAGATATAGGTTTTGTGTCTATAAGAGATGATGGCACAACAGAAATTAGTCGTAGAAATGGGATACCATTTTATTTAAAATTTAACTCATTAAGTATACTATATTCATTTATAAGCCTATTAGATGGTTACTATAGGTTAACTTGTAAGTGGACTTTTAACATTTGTAAAGAAGTATATACACCTTCTCTACAAAAGCTGCATTTTATGAAATGTCATGGTCCAGTAGGAGGAGAGTTTTCTTATGCTAAATTAGAAGAAAAAAGGGGAAATAGAGCAGGGTGTTTCATTGTTAGAGAGAGTGAATCAAAATATAATGACTATTACATAGATGTTTGTATAAAAGATAACTTAAAGCCCAGAACATTCAAATTAGAAAAGATAAGTGGTGGTGAATTGATTTTTACTAATGACTTAGCTAATGATTTAACAAAGTATAAGAGTATTCAACAATTAATGTCAGCTTATCAAGATCCTAATGCTTCAGTATACTTGCAGGAGTGTCTACCTCCCTCTGAATATGACATTTCACCACTTCTTCTTTGCAGAAGTGAGACTTTGGTTGGGGATTTATTGACTGACAGCTCTGTGTTAAATTCCATTAATATGCCCACATTACCTGTATGTATAAATTGCAAAAGTTTACAGGTGTTTAAAGGCCAAGAAAAAGAAGGCTTTAGTGGTATAACATTAGTTCATCGGAGTATGTGGAAAATAACTAAAGGTAAAAAAATTGAAGTAGCTATGAAACTTTTAAAGAATAATTATTCAGATCGATATGTGAAACAGTTTCTGTCACTTGCAGGTCAGTGGGCGTTTTTACAATCTAGTTCTATAGTTAGATTGTATGGCATTGCTTTTACTAGTGATATTGCACTTGTTTTAGAATATTTTCGACTAGGTCCTCTGGATCAATATTTAAGAACACATAAAGAGACTGTAAAGCAAGTAGATTTAATTGAAGCTGCAGGCAGCATTGCGTCAGCTCTATGGCATTTAACAGAAAACAATATAGTTCATGGTAGAATTCGTTGTCGTAAAATAATGGTAAGTGTACATGATGAAAATTCATTTATTGTCAAATTAACAGATCCAGGAATTCACACAGAGTATACACCTTCCGAAGTTCATTGGATTCCAATAGAATGCTATACTAATCTCAATTATGCCAAAAGGTCTGTAGAAGCTGATGTTTGGGCATTTGCTACAACTCTGTGGGAAATGTTTATGTACGGTGAAGAAATTAAATCATTTAAATCTAACGACCACCTTCAAGCTATGAGATGGTATGCCAGTGGTAAAAGATTACCACAACCTCCTATTTGTTCCAGCGAAATATACAGTCTTATGAAAGAATGTTGGGATAACGATCCACACAAAAGAAAAAAGCCGCAAGCAATTATGCGAGATGTTAATCAAATTTTATATCAAGTATACAATTCTAGAAGAGTGCATTCATATGCAAAAGTGTTTAGTAAAGCTGACAGTCAAAGTTTAAGTGGCTATTCTGTAAATAGTTCCAATATTACAGAAAGTACAATACTTTATAATGATTTAATAAACAGTACTCATATATCAAGTGATATGTCAGACTATAACAGTTTATCAGACAGTACATCTCAGTTAAAACTGATCAACGATGATATCAGTTTTGATGAGTCTTGTACATATGAATTTTCAACCATATTTTCAAATCTAAATCTTTCCACAGCCACTACGTCTCTAGATAGTCTCAACACAATGCAAACTGTTTTTGAATTGGATGATAACTACAATGTAGTTCTTCAGGGACGAATAGGCCAAGGATTTTATGGAGATGTGTTTCAAGGAATGTTAGAATTTGTAGATAGTCAAGATGGAGAGCCTAGAAAAGTGGCAGTTAAAAAATTAAAAGCATCTTCTGTCTCTTCATGTTTACAAGATTTTGAGCGAGAAATTAATATAATGAAATCTCTAAAGCACCCGAATATAGTTGAGATCCTTGGAGTATTACGAGAACCAGAAATCTCACTTGTAATGGAATTTGTTCACCATGGATCACTTCAAAGCTACTTAAAAATTCATAAAGAATCTCTTACAGAGGTTCAGCTCCTAAAGTATGCATTAGATATTGCTAAGGGAATGGAGTATCTAGGAACAAAGAATATTGTTCATAGAGATTTAGCTGCTAGAAATATTCTTGTAGTTGATGAGAATCATGTTAAAATTTCTGACTTTGGGCTGGCTCAAGTAATAGGTACTAATGATTACTATATTGTTAAGACACCTAATAGAGAGTTACCTATTAAGTGGTATGCACCAGAAAGTCTTCGAGATGGTAAATTTTCAGTGAGATCTGATATTTGGTCTTATGGTGTTACTATGTGTGAATTATTTAATTTTGGTGAAGAGCCTATGTTAGCTCATATGGACGAAAAAATGCAGGCTCCACAACAGCAAATTTTATTGGCAGCCTTAGAAAAAGGTTCACGATTCCCACCTCCACCAAAATGCCCTGCTACTGTTTATGTTAGGATAATTCATCCATGTTGGATGGCAGATCCGCATGAGAGGCCAATGTTTTCTACTTTGATTTTAGAAATTACAGATCTTATGTCCCAATTTTGATTGTATTTGGGAATTAACTTTTTAACTTGACTGAGCTTTAAATAAAAATAGTATATTTATATATGCATTAGTTATACAATTTATATATTAGTAATGGTTGAAAGATTGGCTTTTCTCATAGTTTGTTATTATATTTTTTAATATAATGAAAAGTGTTTTGCCTTGTTCTAATATCCACAGTTAACCGTTGCTACTATATGTTGAATTATTAGTGGTGTATACAATTGACGATGTTGTTTTGGGTTTTGAATCAGACTGACAAATGTAATTTATGTGTTTAATATAAGAATTATATAAAACAGTTTTCAACAATCTTTAAATTATATTTATAATGTGTTAAAACTTGTACTTGTTCTGGAATATATATTTGTCAATAATCTGTTTACTTTCCTATCCCTAAACATCCAATTCCTTGCATTATCTTTCACAGCTGCGATATAGCCGGTACAGTCTTGTAGAAATTGTTAATGTTTGGAAAATATTAGTATTAACTTTTCTAGAATTACATCTGTAGCATATTTAATGATATATTGTTTCCTGTGCAACTGCAATATACATTATCAACGACAGGAGCAGACTTAGATATGACCTCATATCGTTTTCATCAACACTGATGATCAGTAAAATTGACATAGTACTCTACAAATTTTTTTCAAATAAAGAATCTTTAATTTAGAACAAAATTAAATGGTTGATAATGTTAGTTCATGTAGATGATGTGGAAAGAAAAGTCTTACCTATTATCAGGCCTATGAAACTAAGAAAGGAGATAAAGAAAAAGTAGTGTTATCACCATCAAGTCCCTCATCAACCAGTTATCTATTTTTAAAAAACGGACACAGAATATATAATAAAGAATAAATAACAATAGCTGTTTTAAAAGCGAATGCCATTAGAATATAGAAATTAAGAATAGAGCAAGATTAAAATGAATCGGATCAAAAGGAAAGGATAAAAATAAACTGGTGTAAGATAAGTTGAGGGAGGCCAGGCCCCGAATTGGGCTGTAGAGCCACAATATGGATGTAGGAAAGTTAACTCTGTATCAACGGCAGTGTTTTTTACATAGCTAGATCAGCTGTTGCTGTGTTTTGTGGTACTAGCTCTATTTTCCCATTTAGAAAGAAAAATTGTTGAAAACTAAAATATTACTACTCGTTATTTTAATCCAAAGATTACTCTGATTAGGTTTTTTTGATGGTTCAATATATACAGGGTGAATTTTTGGATCGGCATTGATCGATAATTTAATTATGGTACAGAATTTACAAAAAAAATATTAAGAAAAATTTAGTTAATGATTCTGTAGGCTTTGATAATATGTCGAATTCTATAGAGGGTGATTAATAATTACAATTAACAACAAGCCAGGGCCATCTATTCCGAAGTGCAAATTCGCGTTAACCTTGCGCAGCGACGTCACTCGCAGCTTAGTATTCACATTGCTCTTAATTGTATACATAAGCACTCGTAATTTAGTCATCCTAAATATGGATATTTTGCATATTATTTTACTGTCTTCATACATTTTAAATAAAAACGAATGTTTATAATGTTTTCTTAGTCAAATATATTTAATTTTTATGCGAATTAGAACAAATAAGGTATTAGTATAAAAATATAGCTACTTATTTAGGTACCTACATACTTCCACTTTTTATAAACTTTTAAGAAGGAACAAAATTTTTATATTATACATAATTGGTAAATATATAGTTAAGTTTAAATACTTAAAACAACCGTCACTTACACAAGTCAGATGCCAATTTTGAAAATAAATATTACGATCGCGTTAATATTCTTGCTAAATAACTATATATAAAGCAGTTTTAAAACAATTTGCGTTTAAAAATATAATACTATATACATTATGCAATAGTTTTTTCTATTTTTCTTTTATTAGTACGTGCTAAAATAATTTTTTTATTAAAATCTTTTATACGGAAGTACATACGCGATCGAAAAAATATTTTCTTAGCATCTTGAGGACAATCAATATTAATACTTGCAGATAACAGACTTGAAACATATTGTTTGCCAGTAAATATGGTATCTCCATTAAAGTTTTGAAAAATTTGCTCCAGTTTTTCCAAATGAGCCATAAATTCATTAGAAGGTTTACATAGTCCACCTTCTGTCAAATGATTGGTCCAGGTGTAAGACGTCGAACTTAGGTTAGTTAAATTTGGTAACTTGCCTTTAAGCTTGCTACAAATAAATCCTCCTAAATGTTCTAGTCCATCATATCTTAAATCATCGAGTTCTTCACAGAGGACTATGTCATCTCCATCCGTGGGATTGGTGTCAATGATTGTTTTTTTTAAAGCAAGCTTTTCTACCATACTACCGCTCATAGTTAATGTAGGAGTACCATCGTCTTCTACATTACAGTAATCTGAAAAAGCACCTTCATTTTTTCCCATTAAATAAGAACGCAGTCGGTATTTAAAATCTAAAGAAGTTGGATGATCGTTCAAACCACCTTTTGCTCTTATGACTCCAAAAAAATTCTCCAAGGGATCTTGGTTTAAGCGTCTCGTCAAAAGGTAGTTCATATTATAGCGTTTGCCTACATCTTCAAGCAGCAACTGCAGAGCCTTATTTGATATAAGAATACCTACAATGTTTTGTAAAATGTTATAAATGTGTTTTTACTTTAATATACTGTGTTACCTTTTTGGAATGGAAGCAATGATTTCTTGCCTTTAACGCGCATTGTTGAAATCATGTCAGACATTCTATTTAAAATATCATTTTGGGTTTCTAACTCCAAACCATATGCCCGGTTTCTGGTTCGAGTGTCGCTCACAGGAACGCTAACATTAAATACGTCAAACCAATCGTTCACCTATAACAAGTTAAAACAAATTAGTAATTAATGTTTACCTTACAAATTGTAACTCTTACTAGTTTAAAAAGATCTGCCAATTGTGTCCAATTTGTATCTTGATTAATGAGACCAAGCATGCCGCACCTACTAATAGCCTTCGATACCGTATGGGAGAATAATTTAGCGGCATATTTTACTTTCTGTCTTTGAGCTCCTCTCACATTAAGCTTTTCTTTATCCGTTTTGTGGGTAATTTTTAAATCAGAACCTGTTGTTGCATCGAGAACAGATTCAACACAGTCCTTATTCAGTTCTAGTCCATTAAAAATAAAACCTTCATCCACAAAATGATTTCTGATAAGCTTTAATAGGTGTGGCACGTCAGCAAAAACATAAACATTTTGACCATTGTGTGGGTTTTTAAAATAAGGTTTGGATTCTGTAATTTCCAATTCTGTGTGCAGTCCTCTATTTCCACCCCCTAAATCACAAACCATAGCTACTACTTGGAAACCTAGTGAAAATTTATAAGTAAATATAAGTGCCTAAATATGGTATGCTGCTACTCACCTGCTTCTTCTACAAATGTAATAATCTCAGATAGGATAGAAGAAGTCATTTTTGTGTCATAATTGTAATAGACAGGCTGTTTCCACTGTTTAAATAAACCTGTCAGCATTACGACTTGCACATATGCAAATGGCTGTAATACTTGGTCTTCAGATTTATCGTAGACATACTCTTTTTTGATTTTCATTTCATCAAATAATAAAGTACAAACTTTATCTTTCGTGCTAAAGCTGGAATATTCCACAATTTTAAAAGAGTTTTTTAATGTACCAGGCTGTATTTTAATGTTTTTCAACCAAGATTGCAATGTAGATACTGCTGGATACGGAAAATGTCTTTTTATCATGAGTCTGTAAGCTCGAGGTCCAGCTGAATATAATGATATGGCTTTTGAAATTTCGGATGTAGACCACAATATTCGTTTGTTATTTTTAATTTTTTTAATTTGATTTTTCGAAAAAATATTTTCTACGGCCGAAATAGTGTTTTCCAATGCAGACACCTTTGCTGTTGCCGCATTTAGTTGTTGCTTTAGAAGTGAAATTTCATTAATCAGTTCTTGATTTCCGTTTATTAGTGGTTCTGTTTGTATGCTAAAAATATTTTGTTTTTAATATGTATTTATAATTACCGTAAATTAAATAATAATTTTGCTTTGGAGCTTTATGACACGCTCAATAATTTTAAATTTTAAAGCATAAATTTTAGATAAATTTACCTTTTCTCTGCAGTATTATTGTTAAAACCATCACCATGAATAAAACTTTGAGAGTTATCTTCAGTGCCTACTTCTTTAATGTTAGCCCCAGAGCCTTCAAGTTTGCTACGGAAATTAAATAAGCAATAAGTAAATGATTTCTAAGAAGTTCTATAGAAGCTTATATCTAGAAAAAAGTTACATTTAACTTACTTGCTTAATAATTCATCAACGAGTTGTTTTCTTTGCCTTTTTTTTAATGCGCCATCGTGGCTTGTGGTAACCTCAGGTTTCATCATAGGCAAATTCTTGTTGGGAACAACATCGTTTTTCAAACCCCGATAATTTTTCGGCCGATAATTTAGCAGTTGATGTTTAAGATTTACATAAAAGTCAGTCTCTGTAAAATGCTTTGAACAAATATAAGCCGTCTTTGGGTTAAATTTATCTTTCCTACCGGTGGCGTGCACCCACTGTTTAATTAGATTTTCCTCTTTAGGGAAACGAAAAAACCTCGTGCCAGGGCAAGGATTTCGCTTGCTCTGGTTATCAGAGGAACAGCCAAATACCGCACAACGCATATCGTAAAAATTAAAAATATAATTGTGAGAAAACTCCGAAACCGATAACTTCACTCTTCGGTTGCTAGTTTCTAACTAATGCTGCTACCCAGCATTACTTAATTGAATACTTAGCCAAAAACTGAAACCTCGAGTATAAAACCCTTTTAGAAGGAAATATTATACAACAAACAGACTACCGAGTTTTTACGTGAGGTGCACTCGGAAGCTTAGATTAAAATTGCGTTGTTCCGGTTTTAAGTCTCCTAATACTTGACAAATTCCCAGAACCAAGCGGTCGGGATCACAATGAATTTTGATTCATTTATTATTGTATTATTAGCTTTTATTACATCATGTACTTTGTAAAGGACCGCTTAGGTATCATTTAAGAATAAATTTTTGAATGTTTTCACACGTTTTTGTGAGTACACAAAAATGCTCAATGCAAATTACAGGTATCGCAAGAAAAATTGTATTGTCTCTTACATATTTCTTCTCAAATTTAAGAAAAAGTAAAAATTTCTATCTGAATATAAAATTCGGTAGCGATACATCGGTAGAAAAGCGGCGAAATCAGTAGGTTTGGGAACACTGCT